ATAATATATATATATATATATATATATATATATATATACATGAATATCGTGAAGGAAATGAAAATCACCAATTTGCTTATGCCAAAACTTTAACCAGAGTTATTTAATAATAAAATAATTTTAACCGAATTTTGCAGTTTAAATGGAACTGTTTGGATAATTCACCAGAAAGTGATATTTTATATAAATGGTGTATTTCGGAGAAGACAATAATGCCAAAAAGGCTGCAGAAGGAATTAGTCGCATTTTCTCTGCAGAAATATGAGCAAAACAGGGAACATTTCGTTGATCCCAGCGAGATTATGGTCGAGAAAGTTGTTGAATGGATTAGTGAGTGATACGTTGTAATTTAAAAGACAATAAGTAGAATTGCTGTAATGGTTGCGCGATTCCTTCATTTTTCATAAACAGGCATTCATCCTGTTATCAACATTTACTACTAGAAATTTCAAGCAAACATCATTGGTTTTGGACTATTTTAAAATGCAAGTGACTTTGGTCTGAATCGGAATTGATTCTACCTTTCTTGGATTTAATCCTTTCTTGAGAAGTAGAAGGTCAAGAATTTCAGAATGTAATTATATTTTATTGAAAGTGAAGCTCTGCAGGAAATGAATGGTCTAAGTGGTTTGAAGCTAATACAGAAAAGCAAGAAAAAGCATATATTTATCGGAAAAGCATGAAACATGGCGATGAAGGACTTGATGAGGACGACATTAAGGTAATGTAAAATAGATGCAGTATAGCATCTCGTAAAGAATTACTGTAGGAAAGAAGGGTGATGAATTGTCTATCTGTTTTCAGAAAATAAGACAAAAATAAGTATGTGTTAAAATCGTGGGAAGTCAAGTATGAATTAATCATGTTATTTAATCACTGGTCTAAATAGGTTTATTAGTATCTTCTCTGTAGCTACTAATACTTGAGCTTGTTTTATAACGTTTGTGATTTTCTTTAACATTATATGAATCACATGAAATGGATCATTCTAGTTCAGCTATCAGCTTATTGTCGACATCTTATCAGTCATTTTGGTGCCATTATGTAAAAACCTAATATCTCTGGCTAATTATATCTACAAACTATCAAATATTTGCTTCATTTGATATAGTTTTTCAGTTTCGAGAGTTGCTACCAGATTTTTCGGCTCCCAGCGATGAGCAAGATTTACTTGAAGAACCATCACTTTTCGCTTCATCGTCTGCCAACTGCATCGATAGTGAAAGTTTGACAGAAATACTTTATCTGTTGGCGAATGAGGAATATGCATGTGATTACAATGGTAACATGGCTATAGCATGGATGGTGGACACAGCATCGTCATGTGGCCTTGTAGACGACTATGTGGATTCTAAAGTTTTTGGTATTTTATTCATAGCTGTCTTTATATTGCTTGCTTGAGAGTTTCATAAAATTCCATGAGAAATCATATATTTATAGATATTAATTCTGATCTTCAAACATTTAACATGGAGTTGAAAGGAATGTATTTTTCTTCTTTGATGCTTCTTAGTTCATTTGCATTTATTCGACTTTCTTTGATTCCACATATAATTATTCATCCGGTTATTTGGTGACCCGTATTCTAGTTTACAATCTTTATGCGCTGAATCAGTTGCATTTTGACCAAGACATACGGATTGTTGACGTTTATCGAAGAAATAGCCGGTCAGAGGTGGGGAAATGTATTGCAGTAATGAAGCGACTTATTAAACGTGTCTACTGGTTGAAGGAAAAATGGCCTGAAATGACAGCCCTGGATGGTATACTGCAGGTGACGCGTCATAATATATGAGTTAGAAAAACGAAATGAAAAAATTTGTATTAATATCATAACCATTCAAGATTATTTGCAGGTAATGTTAGTTAATCTGACAAATGAGTGATTATGTGGCATAGTTTAATGGTGTAGTTCATACATACTTGACGAGTTTCAAATGATTTAGAATTAAATTTATAAACAATCATTATACAATTATCCAATATGGTGTGAGCATTTTGTGAATGATTGACTTGTTGGGTAGTATAAATACAAAGAGTAATTGTTTATAAATTATGGGGAGTTAGTTGAATTTGGTAATCATTTAAGCATTGAGCTGTTTCGGTTTTTCATTTCTAGTTTGTTTTTGATTCATTTATCATATTTTTTTAAATTTTTTTGCAGCAAGCACAGAAAATATTGTCTGCATCAATGGCAACCCCCCAAATGCAATTTTCGGCACTTCTGGAGCGTCTGCTTGGTAGGTTATACAATAGTTGTACCACAAATCGCCTATCTTGATCGATATTATACTGATCATAATATTTATGCATGCAGGCCATTTTCTTTTTTCTAAGCCATTTTTCTGGTCTGAAATCCTTATGCTTCTCATAACTTTTTCATCTCGCCATCATCCATAATCTTCTTTACACTGAATCGGGCAGGGATGTTTTTCCTCGCTGTATTCATTGGTATGGAAAGAATTTTCATTTAAAAGAATGTTGAACTTTTTTTTTTCAGTTGAAGCAGATCTATGGGAGAAAGTGGCTGATCGAAATCACTCGTTAGCGAATGAACTTGAAGAGTTGCGACATTTATTGGTCGATTGGCGAAAGATGGAAATATTGTGTTGGGATAATTTAATCGAACAAGTACAGGTTAGTAGGATTTCATATCTTCATAGCTAAATATCAAGTAGATATTCGAAATATCACAATACCTATGTGGATTGTCAAATGAGCTGCACTGAACTTTTAAAACAATAGTCCTTATGTGAGGTTCACCAATTTCTTTCTTTTATCTTTTACGATCTTTTTTACTGTGGAATAAAAAGATTTAAGAAGTTGTCATATTTAATTTTATAACTTCAATTTATGATCTGCTCACATAATTTTACCTGTTTAATTAAACATTTAGAAATTTGTTGTAGACCGATTGTCGTGCGCAGACACTGCTACTGTCGTGGCCACTTTTCGAAGCACTTGATAAAGTGGATAAAGATGACGATGAAATTTTGGCGATGACAATTGAGTGGATACAAAATTCGACGATTATTGACTTTAAAGCTCGACTACTGACTGCTGAATTGCTTATCAAATTTATCAAACTGAAAAGAGAAACTGTTAGGGATAAATTGTGTCAACGACTGAAATCAGTAATTGCATATTTCCGGCTGTTTGACACTGTGAGTTTTTATTTTTGTTTAATTTGCATAATTTAAACTTGAAGTATTAAAGAACCAATCCCATCACAAATGTCATCTTTTCCGGAGTGGAGTTTGAAGTTTGCAAGCGCTACTGAGAAATCGGTACTGAAACTTCCGAAGGTAACGCCAGCAGTTAGCTCGTTGTACTGTTTGGGAATCAAGACGAAGATTATTATGAATAATAAAAATTCTAGTTTTCGAATGGTGTGTCGTGGGAACAGGAGGAAATTCTGATTTCTAATAGGAGTTGAGCTCGCGACCATTACTTTCGGGTTTAAATTTATGTTGTTAAGAACAAGTTTAACTACTAATTGAAGAAAGCGGATGGATCAAAGAAATTAATCAGTGCTCAAGCTTTTATTGTCAGTCTCAATTTAATTAACTTGGGTGGTCCTATTTTAAAGCGAATCAGAAAATTAATTTGAAACTAAATTTTCTGTTCTACATTTCCAATTCTATGCAAAGAATTTCAAGCATAAGTATTCGTAAATTTTGAATCTTCATGTTCCAATAAATTTTGATTTCAGATAGTTGAAAATAAATTAGCCACACAGAAGGAACCAACGGAAAGACAGCTACATGATTTTGTAAAGATCATGAAATATAATGATTTAAATTTATGGAGTGTGAAGGCGTCAGCCGAGAAAGCTCACAAGCAATTGTTTCGTCTCCTGAAACAGTTCAGGTTGTCTGGCAACGACTTAGTTGCGCCCCTTTTTGATGAAATTCCACCGATGTTGTCAACAATAGGGCATGAAACCAAAGCAGTATTTACTGATGACCGAATAATGTCATGTAACGATTTCTACGCGAAACGCGCAGTTGAGTTAACGTTGAAAATTGCGACACATTTCATGGATGGCATCCATTTAGAGGATATTCAAGAGGTAAGTTTTGCAGTATATCATGTGAAAAAGTTGGTGGAGAAAGAAAGTAATAATTTGTGAGCCATGTCTTATATGTCTGATCGACTCTTCTGAGTGGTATCAACCTTAAGGTTCTTTTTTTTCTTGATATACTTTTAATTTGCTTAGTACAACAATCAGATCTAACAAATCATTCGATGTAGAACTGCCATGGCATTAGAAAGCATCAGTCTGACTTCATGTCGAAATGAAGTGTCATATCAAACATGATTACCTATCATACCATTCTTCCCTCTTTTCCAATAGTTAAATATTCAAAACGGTCAAATTGTGTAATTTTTATCAAACGGGTGCGTTTATATCATTTATATACTAAAGACTAAATAACGAACAACGAACATTTCCGTCTTACTACTAATTTTAAGTTTCGTTTACATTAAAATGTCGAATATTCAGTTAACGGAATTCGCTAAGTGCTGTAACGATCTTATTCATAAAGATATTCAATACGAGGGTAACGATAGTGAAAAGGAAAAACAGCAAGGTCGTGCATTAAGTGAACGACAAAAGGTATATATATTTTACATCTTTCGGAATAGTGTACGATTGTGTTTGAGTTCTGAAGAAGATTTGCACATAGCTATGATGTCATGAAGTTAAATACGGTCATAACTTATATTGCCTCTATAATTATGAGCATATTCACGTAGCAGGAAGTAATGATCTTACAATGATGTTTATATAAGTGCAGTGGAATTGGCATATTTATATTATTTACAAGTAATAAAAGATTATCCTGCTATGTGCAGGGATTTATTCTCTATGTATTTATATGCTTGAGTTTGTCCTTCTTACTTTTCGATTGACCTGATACCGGATTCTCTAATCTTAAAATTATGATTTGACTGATTTATTTCAAGGATGATAGTGATGTAACGTATGGAAGCCACAATAATTTAATTTACCTGAAATTCTTTCAATACTTTTAGGCAGTTGCGCGTTTATTGAAAGATAGTGCTGCACTTGGTCTAAGTAGTCGAAAAGGCTTAGCGGTTAATGCGGAACAGTTAACTGCAAATGTTGTTGCTGGAATGCCTGGAGATGAAATAATGTTGATGAAGGTTTGTTAACTTTAGTTTTAAGCTGTAGGTATTGCGGAAGAAGAAAAGGGGTCAAAAAGGGTTTGGAGGTGAAATCTCCAGATATTCCTGATTGGTGACAATAATAAATATGTCTAAAGGTTAGCGATTCCGTGCAAATCAACGGGATTCTTTTTCTTCACCGTCGCTGTTTTTCTTTATTAAAGTATGAATGCATAACAATTCATTTTCTTAAAAATTTTAAAATCATCTATTCGACTTTAAAAATTTCGCTGCACTGCAAATATAATTTTGTAAATGGAACAGTTGAATTCGAATTTCCGCATCTTATGTGGTGTCATAGTCCGGTAATTTTTAATCAGTCTATTAGATAGATTTATTTATTATTTATAGCTGCATTGTTTATTTATGAAATTTTTATATTTAGTTCATAAGATATGGTGGAGCATCACGAAATATTGTCTTGAAGAATTTCCATAAGCCAAATGCTCAAATCGGTACAAAGACGATGAGCGAATTAAAGGGGCTTACGGAATTTATCCTGAATGAAATGTACTTATGTCAGCATATTGTAACAAGCAGACGAGAAACGCTAAAGAAGATGGATAAAGCTAAGAAAATGTTGTTGAATTATCTGGAAAATGCTAAGGTATTCAAGTTTTTCTTGGGACAGAAGGGCTTTACGAGTTATAGGCGACTGTTAATTATGACATAAATAATTTAATTTTGGATAAAATTCAAAAGGATATCATTTGAATAATATCGAACTTTCGTTTAACTAAAGTAGAGTTCAAAATCTGTTAGCATTATTTTTCTCTTTTACTTCTTATAGGATATGAAACAACCTTGCTTATATAGTCAACAGTGGTTGTATCGTCTACAACAATCAAAATATTCGACACTTAAATTTAATTCACTTTTGAAATTTATGAGAACAAAACTTGAGAATGCTCCAGAATGTGATACTGATCTTGAAGAGAACACGGTTAGTGCTTTATTTCAATTTTGTTTTCAAAATCACTGCTGATAGAGTGTTTAAGAATTTGTTGTTATTTGATAACTTCTCTGAGTACTTAGTGATATGCATGTTGATTGATTTAAATGGGGGGAAGTTTTGGAAGGATGTCTTTTTCATTAGCACTTTTTTTGGTTATTATTGGGGTTTTTATTTGTCCCAATTTTTTTATTTTTGGTCATTTTTGGATTAAATTCAATCCTGAGTTTTTTTTCAGGCCCTCAAATTCAGTGGTATTCAAGATAGTCGGTTATCCCAGTTACATAAGCAACATCAGGAGTATGACCAAACACTTGATGCAATTAGAAAGATGCAAGATGCAGCAGCAAAAATACTTGAAGCTATTAAACTGTCGCTTCTTCATTCAGTGGATTGTGAGAGTATTGCTATTTGGAAAAAGTAAATTTTCATCCTTTTTTTCCTTGGTACTTTTTAATACATGAAACTGAAATTTTAGGACTGAGCTTAAAATCCAAGTAAATAAGAGCGTTGTAGTTAACCGTGTTTCTCTATATATCAAAAATTTCGATTAAATTTTATAATCTATGTTTTATGAAAGTTCGAGGTCCAACTGCAGGTAGCTCTTCAAATTTCTAGCTTTCTTACTAACTACTTTGATCTGTGTGTAACCTATAACAGCTTCATTTATTGAAGGATCTTTTAGTTTCGACTGAGCTTCTCGAATTCGTTTAGTTCATATTTTATGACTTATTCCAACTTCTTGCAGTTCCGATATATTGGATACCATTAATCTCATAAAATCAGAAAGCGCTGATATAAATTCTCGACTACCTCTCATTTCGTGTGTAATGGCGGAAGAGGTTAAAGAGGCACTGGGAATCTTACGTGAAGTATCAGAAGCGCTGACGAATCCAACAAGTGTTCACGAAACACTTCTGGATATACCATGGGAGGGAATCCAAGCTTTGTTGATCATGCTGCAAAATACTTACAAGCAAGTAATGTCAGTTGATTTAAACAATTCTCGTTTTATGGATATCCTAAGGCAACTGACCAATTTGCTGCGAAATTTGGATTTTAATAAGGTTAGGCAGATTTGATACTTCTTACTATGTAACAGCTAAAATCCTCCTTGTTTATGTATTGAAGTGACAAAAGTATTTATTGAGCTATAGTTCTGAAAACCAAACAATTTGTAGCATGTCCCTAGTTGACACCACATAACTAGGAAACTGGTCTCTCGCTTGATCTGGATTTTGATTTGGCAAATAACTAATAAATAAATAAGCCATAGAAAAAGTAGGATTGTGCAATTTCGAGCTGAAATCACTGTAATTTCTTTGGTAGGTTTGTTCTGCAGATGAAACTGGGCTCATTCTGCAGGTAAAACTTTATCTTATTATTATAAATTTACTTTTCAACTTGAAAATTAATTTTCGAAAATTAATTCTGAATCAAATTAGAGGCTGCAAGAATTTTGTTCTAGTCAACTGAAGAAATATGGAATTTGTGTGCGCAGTTATCTGAAGGTAGGGGATCAATGGGTTATGACCGTCTGGAGCAAGTCGCTTCAATAAGTACTACGCTTTGTGAAATTTCGTCTTTCATTTTGGAGACAGTTGAAAATATCGCAATTGAGTTGGCGAAGTATTATATGCACTTCGAAGCAATGGCTGCTACGTTACTCAAGAAAGTTTGTGTTTCGTCGTTTGCATTTTTTTATTAATTTTAAATATGTGGATGACAACATAGTAGGTAATTCTGACACAGTGTTAAGGAATAACAGTTGTAACTGACTGACTAAATAGTTTTCCAAAATTGGTTGGGAGTACGAGTAAAAGAGGTAAGATAAGATTCGCTTAATTATCTAAACTCGCTCAAATCTATCCATATTTCCACTCCTACAGATTTATTTTGCGATGCAAGATTCGTTAAGTTGTTTATTTCAGCATTACCTTTGTAAGGATTAACTGCTAATTTTCCCATACTGTCGTAATGAGTTATTCGTAGGGTTATGTAAATCCGATACCGAAACCGCAGAAGAATGATGGTGAAAATGATGGAAATGAACTGCAGTCATGTGATGACGACATCGCTGGTTTGGGAGATGCTAAAGGTGAGAAGGATGTTGGTGATGATATCGATGAAACCGGGCAGGTAAATTGTTTAGAACTAGTGGTGAAGAAAAGTAAAGCTATATTTGACAGTATATGCATTGTCGAAAGTTATTGCATTAAATTTATCTCCTTTTCGTCCCTTTTTTCTTGATTCTTTAAAGTTTAACGATCTTAGTTTTAAATTTAAATCTGATCTTCTGATCGGAAATTTCGGGTCGAATTTATGTTGATCTGAAATTTCCGAAGAAATATCTAAAATAATGCCGATTTTTCCTTTTTCTAGGTTGAAGGCTTGAAAGATGACAAGGAGAATGTAGGCGAAGGGCCAGACAAAAATAACGATGATGGTACACCACTTGATATGGGTGACGATTTTGCCGGATGTTTAGAGGATATTGATCGTCAGCAACGCGGCGGTAAGTTTCTTTACTGTTTATTTATTGAAACATTTTCAGGAAAAAAACATTGAAACATTTTTCACATAATGGAGACAAAGTGACTTCCTATTCTTGATGTTATTGAATCCATCTATCCAAGAATTATAGATAAATGAAGAAAAATGGTGAAGATGAGGACAATGAGCTTGAAGCAGATATGGAGATGGGAGATGTTAACCAAAGTGAAGAGATAAACTGGACCCCGAATTATGGGATAAGAATGATGACAAT